TTTGAAAAAAGGAATTGCATACTTTACCGTAAATGTATAGATAGGGAAATTCCAGTGAAAGATTATGAAATATAATTTGATAAGCCTCTTATTGATATTGATTTTGACATGTGAATAAATTTTAATTATCTGTTATATATTTAATTATGCTCTTTAAGAAAACAATACATACGTGTATATATGTGTGTATATATCTATATGTATTATATATAAATATACTCATATATGTATGTACATATATAGAAAGAGAGTTATTAGTTTTAAAGAATTGACTCACGTGATTGAAGAGGCTTGGTGAGTCCCAAATCTGATGAGATGGGCTGGCAGGCTGGAGACTCAGGGAAGAATTGCAGTTCAAGTTCAAAGGCAGTCTGCTGGCAGAATTCCCTCTTGCTCCCAGGTCAGTCTTTGTTCTATTAAGGCCTTCAACTGATTGAAAGAAGCCCACCCCTATTATGGAGGGTAATCTGCTTTACTCAAAGCCCACCTATTTAAATGTTAATCTCATTAAAAAAAAAATCCCCCCAGAAACATCCTGAATAATGTTTGACAAAATAGCTGGCCACAGTGGCCCTGAGATGTTGACTCATGAAATTAACCATCACAATGGATAAATTGCTCAGTGTGAGAAACCAGGGCACCTGGATTTGCCCTGGGTGATGTTGGGCAGGGGAGAAGGAGACAGGCCAGTCAACAAGAGGCTTTCAAACTGTACTTTTTACATTGTGCCACATGGTGTCACATGCATACCAATGTGCACCTAACTGAAACAATGGCTGCCCTTCATCGTCTTGGCTCTTTCTCCCCTTCCCTTCCATTCTATCGTACCTTGAGGCATCCCATTCCACTCTTTAATTTTTGAAAATGTTCATCTTTACCCACTAAATGAATTCAGTTGACACTATTGGGTCACAAAACTTCAATTTACAAACAATGAATATATAATTTCCGTGTGTGCGCCTGCACGTGTGTGGTAAATCAAGGAAGAGGCTGACGGCACAGGGAACAGAGATTGCACACTTCAGGCCTTGAAATGATCCATAAACCAAGGGAGTGAAGTGATGGTGACAATGCCAACAACCCTGCGTCCCTTACCCCAGTTCTGCACACATCCTCCAAGTTCACAGAAATACTGGGGAGGGCTTTGGTCTTTCACTGGGCATGGAATTAGGGATCTGAGTGTCTGTACATAATATGGATCTCAGGGGATACTCTCCTTACTTTTTTTTTAAAGATTTTATTGGGGAATTGGGGGAGGTGAACAGAGCTGGGGAATGGGGGAAGGGGAACAGACAAGTTGCTGTCCTTTTGTTCTTCAGCGTAGTTGTGGAGGACGTCACTTCACTGGCCCATGTTGGTGTTATCATTGCCCTCTTCCCGTGTGAGGCAGATTGGTCACCGGCCTCTGGAAGGCCGCTCACAGCAGTTCTTGGCAGCTCACAACAGCTGCCGGCTGCTCACGCTGGCTGCCGGCCACACACGGTAGCTTATGGCAACCACTGCAACAGGGGCTGCAGCCTATGCTGTCCCCGGCGACTCATGGCAGCCCAGCTCCAGGTCGAGCTGCTGTTCACCATCTTAGCTGTAGAGGGCAGCTCACAGCAGTTCTTGGCAGCTCACAACAGCTGCCGGCTGCTCACGCTGGCTGCCGGCCACACACGGTAGCTTATGGCAACCACTGCAACAGGGGCTGCAGCCTATGCTGTCCCCAGCGACTCATGGCAGCCCAGCTCCAGGTCGAGCTGCTGTTCACCATCTTAGCTGTAGAGGGCAGTGTTACTGGCCCTCATGTGTGATCTGAACCGGGGCCCTGCTGCTCAGAGCTGGTGTCCCAAGCCAGCTCTTAACCAATGCGCCACTCAGCCGGCCCTATGCTCCTTACCTTTAAACTTCCATAACACCTTAGCCAATTCTGTTGGCACTTATCCATTTTATACTATAGAAACTGGGTATCTATCTACCCTAATAGGCTGTAACCTACTTTTGGTCAGGGATTATGTCTTAGGTACAATTTTTATGTCCCATATCAATTAGTGTAATACCTACACAGAGTAATAAACTGAAGTGTGTGCTTTATTTTATGCATGTAAAAGTTGTTACCACTAACCATAATAACATTGATTTGTTATAAGTGGCTGAATAAATCAACTTTATGAAATTTCCTAACCATCCCATGTTTTAGACATATCAAATATATAATTTAAATGCTTCAGATAACATTGTTACATATATTACAAAAGAATCACATCCATGCCAAGAGATTGTACGGATTCATACTGAACCCGTTACAAAGCAATGGCTCCACATCAGCAATGAAAGGTGAAGCCGGGCCCAGAGCCCCTAGTTCAGCAACGGAATGGGAGGGCCACACGAAAGTAAACGGTGAGGGCTACGAGGGTGATCACTAACGTTAATCCTTCACGCCACATCTATTTCATCATGTGCTCTATGGTCAAGCTTAAGAGTTCAGAGGCAGCAGCAAGACCACCTTTGAGATGCTGGAAGTGACTCGAATTTTTGGTGTAGTCTGAAAGCTCTAAGGGACCTGGACATCACAATAGCTCATTACACAGACTTACTGTGCCTTGCAACCCTCTCCAAAGCAATGGATTGTAGTATGTCCACGTAAACTGTAGCAATGCTAAGAAAAAAGGGGGGCATTGTGATGGCCATACGTGTATTTAAGCAACTCTGGGGTATTCCTGAGTGAACCTGTTTTTAGCATACTTGCTGATGTCATCATGGCCTCATAAAACTGAGCAACACACACACACACACACACACACACACACAATGAAACTCAAAAAGAAAAAGATCATGTAAAACTTGTTTCTGTACAAAAAAATGTAATTTATTTCATAAATAGACAATCACTCAAGTGTAGGCTGTGTAGGCGTTCATTGGTGAATTTAGACTAAACAGGAAGTGATGTAAATTATACTTATTACACTGCTGGGAGAGAAATATATTAAATCCAGACAGCACTCGGACAAAGCACAAGGAACTCGCTGTGTTGAAGGAAACCATGCAACTTTGGTGGGAAGACAATGTATTATATGGTATGAAAATCATCAGTGGCCATTTGGGATTAAAATAATTTTTAGGGAGTACAATTTTGTCCTAGTGCTGAAATATCTGTTTTGCTTTTTTGATAAAGCCCCAAGGTATTCTAATCTCAAGCACATTGCTGTGTATTTCATGCTGTTGTTTCATAGTCATTAAATCGGAGAATAAGAAACAATGAAAGCATCAATGTTTAGAAGTCACAGCTCTGGTGAAGCATCCAGAGTAAAGGTGAGGACTGAGGAAGTTACAGAATTATCTAGCACCCATGTAATTCCACCTATTGTTCAAATATCCAGGAAATCACCTGGTAGAAGAAATACTGAAAAATAAATTACCTTGAAAGTAAAACAATGTCGTGATCTATTCCATGACTATTTGTCTTATTGGTCTATCCTTATGACAAATCTTCCTGGGATGAACTGAAAAACAAACAAAAACAGAGCTGGAGAGCTGGTTTGGCTGCTTGTGTGGCCTAAAGAGAACTCTCAGAAAATCAAGCCAAAGACATATACATCAAATGTCCACCTTACCTTTTTGTTACAGTTATATCCAAAATGAAGTACTTGAACGAATTAGGCTCAGCCATACAAATTACTATCATGCTTCACCAGAGTGTAGAACAAGATAGACTTTTCTAATTTATTGGTCCCCGCCTAAGTAGGGTCTTCACAAATAATTTAGTAAAAATGTACTGACGGCTAGTTGCCTTGATTTTAGAAGAATCTTATAATCTTTTAGAGAATGATTTCTTTTGTCAAGCTGGTGTTGTGGTCCCATTCAAGTATCAAGGCAGCTTTCACTGGGAGAGGAAATCACTGCCCTTCCTAATGCTCAAAGCAGCAGGGATTAGGAGTCAAAGCCACGCCCATGTGGGAGGAGCAGACTTTGGTGGGAATGGACTAGGTGATGTGCAGCCCCCATGGTTCTCTCCACACCGTGTCTCTGAGGGGAACACAAGGATTTCACAGAAACCAACGTTCATTTGCAAATAGATTTGACCAGTAATAAAGTGAGCTCAGATCAATTTTCGTCTTTGATTTTTATGAGTTATTAAACTACACTACGGTTTGCTGAGGATGAAAGGAACAATACTATTTTATTTCTATTTATTTGTGCATACACAATCAATGGTAGTTGTTGAAAGTTTCTATGACATTCACTGATATTAGCTCTCTCTCGCCCAATCGGACCCTGCTCCCCATCTCCATCCTTTCCGCCTTGCTTAACCCATTGCCCTTCAGTGGTTAAGGACACCAAGCCTGCACCAGACTGACTAGGAAAGTTGCCCAAATTTAACCTCACTTTTTCACCAGTAAAATTAGGATAATAGCAGAATCAAACTCAGGGTTTATGTAATGACAAATGGGGACAGATACAATGCTTAGAACACTTCCTGGCATCTCAAATATTATTTGAATTATCATCTATTATGTGTCACCCGCCATTTCATATAATTGTTAGTATTTACTACCATACCCTTTGCAGAACAGATTTTTCTGGCAGATCTTCAGTCGAAGGACAATATATAGGAAGATACTTCGATAGATTTTTCAAGTGTTTACTTGAGCAACTATTTAATATCCTACTCCTTAATGGTCTTATTTTCAAAAGCATCTATAATCCGCTCTCTTAAAAAATTTTATAGAAATAACCTAATCTTGACATGTGCTAGATGGATCATTCTACATTTAAATGATAAACAAAGTCTGAAAAAATTATAATTCATGGAGATTCAATTTTAGTCCATGAAAGATGTATTTTTTTAATATCACTTCATATTTCTGGGCCTCTTTTTAGTTTTACACTCATGAAAATATTAAGTTAGGTATCCCTCTTTAGGTGCTGGTTGTTATGAAATAAAAACCCAGTTCATTTTTTTTTTACTATAGAGTCTATCTTGTTCTGTATTTCAAATTACTATACAGAAATGGTAAAACTTTTCATAACAAATGTTTAATTAGAATGGTTAATCACTATGATTTCCAAAGTGTCTGAGTCAGTGTTAGTAATAATTAGGGAGTTTTGTTCCATACAAAATGCTTTATTTAACCTTCATGCCTTCATTCAGATAATTATACAAATGCATACATTTAAAGGTTTAAACTCTATTTCAGTTCACAGCTCAATTCATAGGAAAGTTGAATACAGAAAAGCAATGCACCAACAGAATATGTCTGAGACACCATTAAAAACGATAACACTTGTTCATTTAAATCTCTGAGAATAGACTGGAATAATCATCCTCTGAGAGAATCTCATTAGGAGGGTCTCCCTTTACATTATCAGAGGGCAAAAAAAATCACCATTTTACAGTAAAAGAAAAAAAGCTCTGAGTATATTTACAATACATACACTATACATAAATACAAGAACAACACTTACATAATATTAACTTATAACAGGGCTTGCCTAAACACTACAGAGTATATAAATGCAGAGGAAACTATTGGGAAATTAGGTCTTTAGATAAGCTGGAGAAATAAATTCATTTGTAATTAAAACTCTGAACAGAAAATCAAATAAAGATTTAAGAAATTAACCCATTTGCTTGCCAGCATCATTGGGGGGTTTTATCCTGTAATGTGTAGGACCTCCTCTGGGCGCTCTGACTCTCTGGGGTCAGGAACCCAAGAGTCTTTCGTAGAATTATATCCATCAAGTGAATCAGACGCAGCATCTATTGAATTTGCTGTTCAGGGGCTTCAAGCCTAGAATAACTGTTTTGTAAACTAAAGGATGTTTCTGTATTTTTACAGATAGATCATGTAATCCAATCACCATGTATAATGAGCTAAGTGTTAAGGAAAAGTAAAAAGATGCCTGCTTAAATTGGCCACAGATGATATTTTTTTTATTCCCATGTTTTCTTTTTTTTTCAAATATGACTGAGAGATTTAGTCAAAAGAATATGATGTTTGACTTGACCCCCCCCCCAACCCCCACACCAAGAGCAATGTCTAGACTACTACTAATTATAACTAAGTCATTTTAAGTGGCAGGTGGGTATCTTAAAGGTGGTCTGTTCTCATCGTTTCACAACACAGAAACTTCTGAGTACATTCTTCTACGGACAAACAAGAATTTGCTGGTTTCTCTTTTTTGAAAAAATGAGTATGTGATGATACACATAATTGCATTATGATGCAGGATGATATAATACAGAAGACGATGTTTTCAAGCTGGTTTTGTAAGTAGTTATCTCACATCCACAGAGTTGGTTTGTCATGTGATGCAGTATGTCCCACAGACATGAACAAAACAATACAGCCACCATTCCATGGGGGGAGGGGGAATGGTGATTTTTTTAAAAAAATGAAGTTTTAAACACAACAAACTGTGGACAGACAAGTTGATAGGAAAGAGCCTTGAATATAGGCACCAGTGCCCCAGTTCAACAATACCCATCCAATGTAATCAAGTCTGAGGAACAAAATAGACACTGGAGTCTGGATATAATTACAAATTCTATGGGAAAATTAGAAACACAAGTAGGGCAAAAGCATTTTCTCTAATGCTTTATTTTCTGCTGTATCTTTGGAGCATGAAATTAGCAGAAAGATGTTGTTATGTCCTTAAAATATCTTACTTTTTGATTACTTGGGCACTTCTACTAGAATCTGACCCAAATCCTACTCTCCTATTCAACCTCATTTCTCAACAACAAAAAAACGAATCTCTGTAAAAGTCTTGGTAAGCCTGCTTTGGAAAAAAGCAAGATATAATAGTTCACACAAAGACTCATTGGTTCTTGCTTTGCACAAAGAGCAGACTCTGTTGTCGCTAACATTTAAGGTTTCTAGAGATGAAGTCTAGAAAGAAAAAAGTCCTGATGTGATTATTTCCACTATTCATCTCTTTTCAACTCAAAGTTGTGGTTTTGTCGTTGAGAAATTATTGCTTGTGAAACCCAATTAACTGCGAAGAGAGCCCCTTTCCAGTGGGTTGTGTGCACAGACCACTTGCTTTCAGCGCAGAAGGGAATTTGTTTATGCAGGTTTTATCTCTTCCCTCAGCCAAGTAACAGGGAGAAAGATCATAATTCAGGAGATTCATTTTCAGAAAAAGAAACATCACGAGAAATGACATTCTCTTAATGTTTTCTAAGTCCATTAACACTTCCATGAATCAATACTGTCAGAGACTTTGTTCTGCGCAGAAAAGGAGGAGGGATTTCACTTCCCTGATGTTGGACAGCTTCTCACATAAAATTCAATTAAACTAACAATACTATAAACAAATTATTTATAAGATTAATTAAAAGACTCCAAGTCGGTACCGTTAGGTGAGAAATCTGAAAAGGGATGATCATTCTCTCTCCTTGCTCATCATCTGAATGTTTGTGACTGCCACCCCATTAACACGTGCCAAGAGTGGGCTATGATATGAATGACTAGCTCCATGGAAGGCAAACTTTCAAATGTACCTTCAGCAGACTCTAGCAGGGCTACATGGGTGGAAAAGGGTTTTAATACACGTACAAAGACATACGTAGAATCAGGAAAACCCATTCCAGCTACAATGCTACCAAGTAGGGAAGAGTTTTGATGATTTTTGGATCTCCAGGCCAAACATTTAGGAGGAAAGTGACAAGTTCAGGGAGACAGCTGGTTGCTGCACATTGTTTCTAGTGATCCTTCATGTGTGGCTTTCCAGAAGCCTGATTTCAAATATTCTGAATCACTGTCAAATCCTATGCTAAATCATGTCCCTGTATCTTACTTGGAAAATATGACGACTGCGCTCTTCCATAATAAAACTACTGAAGAGATATGGAAAGCTGGCTGCTGGGAACACACGTGCAGTGCGGCGAGGTGGAAAGACTACAGACTTGGGAGCCAGAGACCGGTAACTCCACATCCCCACCCTGCCATTCACTACTTCTGTGTTTGAGGACAACTCAGCCACTCTCTCCATGCCTCAGTTTCCCATTCATAAGATGTAGAACTGTTGTACAGATGAGAGGTAATGAGTCTAAAAATTACCTAGTATAGTGCTTGGCACACAGGAAGTGTTGTATAAACAAGAGCCATTATTTCATGGCTTACTGGATTTTTGACCTTTCAAGGATTTTAGTACTTTCAGACAACTTCCAGAAAGCAGCCCGACCAGAAGACTTGACTTCAGCGAGGGTGAGGAACCCTTCAGTTTTCCTAGGACACTTCGTTGGTTAGTTCACACCTTATCCTGGCACAGTTCCTTTTCCTTCTTTCTGAAACTTGGAGGAGGAAACAGCAGATGGTTTTCTAGGCCTGTGGTCTGGTTCTGGAGAACAACTGTCCATCCTGGTCGTCTCTGCTGTCTAAAGCCTGAGCGTTTAATCATCATTATACTTTTAAAATTGCTCTTACTGAATGTTTGGCTCTGAAAGAGTATAATTTTACTGATAGCCCTCAATAGCTTGTTTGGGTGGATTTGTGCTGAGATGGCAGGGATGGAGAACTTCCAGGGCTTTTGTCTATTCGCATCATCTCACTGTATATTTCTATTCATGACTCCACTGTTAGCAGTAAAATTAGTATAGGAAAAAGTGGTGAAGTTCTAAACGTAAATCTAGAAATTTCCAGGACTAACTGCAAACCTTGGTTTAAAGCTAGGCTTACTAAGTGTCTGCTATATACTTCAGTAGACTTTTCAGGGATAAATGATTGTGTCAATCAATGTTCACTCCAAAATGATTCTCAGAGAACAGGAAATATTAGAAAAAAAGAAAATGAAGAAAAGCAGAGATGGATTTGTGCACTTAATATTAGTGGATAAAATAAAGTAAAACAAATATCTAGTGTTTTGCTCTAAATAAATTGGCTTTTGTTAACTGAGCAAAACTTGAGGCACACTTAGTGACTCCTAATTTTGGGGCCAATCACAGTGAAATTTTTATCTCAAAATTATAATTGCCATATGCTATAGTGTATGTTGAAGATAACCCTAATGTTCAGATTTTCATTCTTACATTCTGTAAGTAATAGAGATTAAATTAAGAAACGCTAACATAAACAAGATTAGGTATATTTAAAAAGACACCAAAGAATTTTTGTGGGTGTGTGAACAGGCTCAATTTACTTACTATGTGCATATATTTACTCTGTGTGTGTATCCCAAATGTGGAGGAAAAACCCAGTCTCGAGAAGAATTATTGCTGTGTAAAAGTATAGGAATATCTCATTGGTCATAATGTTTATTGACAGGCACTTTCAGCTTTTAACTTATTTCTGAAAAATGGGCACTAGCTTATTCCTATTGCCAGTATAGATTCATTTACCATGTGGCCATATCTCTGATACTTAATCTTGTCAGCATGTAGCTACTCCTAAAAGTATTCCCTCTGGAGCTAAACAAGACTAAAACACCTGTACAGTGTTTTTGATCAATAATTATTTCGTTGAGGAAGAAGATAACTGAGAAAAGAGAACAATTGCTAGATGCCTTTTTTTAGCACGAGTAAACTCCTGTGCAGCTGTTTTCCCCTTTCAGGTAAAGACATTTTGAGCTTGGAATCAGCGGTTCACAGCTTAAAATGGCTTCACTGTGTTTTAAACCATCCTGGCTAAATTGAGACAAGTGGCCACTCCATTTTGTCAGAGCACAAGGAATGTGCTGTGAGAAAGTGGAACAGAGTTCCCATGGCAATATCACTAATTGTATGTAAGATATACAAGGCATATCTGAACAATTTTTTTTATTGTGATGAAAACTAGAAGCTCTTTACCCAACATACTTCATCAAACTATTTACAACCTCTGTAAAATTTGTGAGTTTGAAAATACTTTTCCCACTATCACATATGGTACGAATACAGTAAAATATTTTCACTCTATTGTTTTTTTAAAGATGCAGTATCCTCCTATTTCATTTTCTTACGAAAATCTGAATTTCTATTGCAATTCCACAGTATTTAGCATACTTAAAGTACCAATGGACATGGGTTGCTAAACAGACATTATTCTATAATGAAACTGTGAAAATATAGCATTTTAAAATTTTATGTACACTTCTTAACTATAAAATGCAGGCAGAGTCATATATAGCATTATAAGCTGATTCCCCAATAAGGTAAATAACTTACATTTCTAGACAGCATGGATTATTACAAAGTCATTCTTTAAAAAAAGGTCTTTGTTGATATTTATGAGCCTGTTGGCTGCTGCATATATGGGTGTGTATACACGTGTGCATGTGCTGGGGCTACCTGTGCAGGTAAGTGGATGGCAGGGTGGGGATAGGTAGAAATGTAGTATGGAAGACATAACATACCAAACCTCTTTTTAAACCAAAACCAAATCGAAGTGAAAGAATTTTTAATGAGATGCACTACCTCTGAAAAACTAACAGAAGAGATTTGGACAACAAAGTTGTAGAAGACATGGACTTCCTACATTTACAGGCGTCAGTAAAGAGCAAAATCTGAGATTGGATTATGGATGATGAGGATTAAGGCTTCCTGGGCCTAGTATGATTTGTAAGAGTTATCTCATATTCGGTCCCTTACATGAAGACTATAACTCAATGTATCATGGATGCTGGTATTAACACTGCTTAAATTCTGTCAAACCTTACCATAAATGTTAAGACACCTTAATAACAACATCATGGCTACATTTCTAAGCAGTCATAACAACATAACAAAGGCGTAGTAATACATTTGAAGGCCTCACCTCACCAGATTTATTCGATTGCAGCTTTGGTAGGTATAATAAAGTACAGAATAAGGAATACTGCATCTTTATCCATATACATGTTATCATTCTAATGAACTGATTTCAAAGTGCAGAATTATATTTATGTTTAAAACACAAATGGCAATTTGAAGTTAAAAAAAAGTATAAAAATGAACACCATCTTTGTATGAGCTATTCAAAATTTCAACCACAATGAGAATGACCTTTTTAATCATCTAGAACTGGCATTGTAAACACTGTAGCTTTTTGTAAGTTTTTTTTTTCCCCCTGACAATCTTCTTCCTCTTTTCCACTTAAACTATAAAGTGACTAAAAAGTGCTCTTTTTTTTTTTTTGCAGTGTGGTTTATGTTACTGTTATTCAACTGCTTTTGAAAATAAATGTCCTATAATGTTTTGTAAAAGTAATGCCAGGCAGTAGTATAATCTTGACGGTAAAGCCATTAGGTATTTCAGTCTAAATGTCTTAATAGAACTTAAGACAAGTTATCAAGCAGGCTTCTCAGAGTCCACACACAATCGACAAGAGGGGGCTGGAGGCAGACGGGGAAGCAGGAAGTTGTTTTCCTAACAACTTCAGATGAGAACATGAAGAAGGAATCTATTAAAGCCTCAAAGTCTGAACCTTATAGCTTTTCAAATCAGGTTAACTCCCTTGAACTCAATCTCTACAATGCAAAGAGATAGCCGGGTCCACGGTGGTTTCTCAAGCCATCACCACCTGCTGGGTGTAAGTTCCCAACCATGCACATACGCCCCGCTGCACACAGAAGAGAGTCCAATTTAAAACCAAAGCGTGCTTCTGGGTGGGGAACCCCTGACAAATCCTTCGGATTCTACTTCCTTTCCGTTGTTCACCATCTACTGTGCTGTTTAAAAGAGGCTAGGATGAACATAAGATGAAATGGAGGAGGCTTTCCCATGCCTCGAGATAGTTCTACTTAAAAATCCAGTCCCTTCTCTCCCTAACCACTTTCCTTTCCATGGGGAAGCATTTGTAGAAAACTCAACAAAGAGCATTTGCTATGTCCCAAGACAAGCCCCAAGTAAGCTTCAGTCCTGGATAGATCAGAAACTCATTCACTCCTTGTGCTTGGACCCCTCCCTCCTTAGGAGTAGCGATATGTCAAAAGGAGGAAATGCTGTGATGCTGACAGGTTTTATCAGTTCACTTACTGTCTCCGTCTGGTTTCCACTTTCAGAGGGCGAGGAGAGAAATGCACTTTCCTGAATCTTCCCTATGTTATTAGAGAGGAGAAGCTCATTCAGTTCTGTGCTAAATTTAAATCAAGCTCTCACTCAGGAAGCTCCCACTGCCTGTCAGTTCTCTGAATTCGAACAACCATTTGTACTTGTAACATTCTCAAGGCATCTCTGGGCAGAGAAAAGAATTGGCCCTTCTTGTGAGAGCAGGAAGAATTAAATCGAGCCGACGCTTCACCTGAGTGATTCCCCTACTACCTGCCAGCCAGGTTCCAGGACTAGCAGGAGAGGGCTCCAGGGCTGCCTTGGCCACTCTCTCTGTGTGTTTTTTGCTGCTGACCAATCACCAATGCCGGCATGCATCAAGAAACCTTCTTCTATTCGAAATGGTCACAGGCAATGAGAAGTAGAAGTTGCATACAGTACAGATAAAACACTTTCCAGTTGGTAAAAGAAAACAAAACCAAAACCCAAAAACCAAAAACCCAAAACCCAGTGCTTGGTGGGTAGTAGATTGTGTAGCTAAAGAAGCTATTTATCAATAGAACTGCAGCCCTTGTTGGAGGGAAACTGCCTGATGAATTTTTCATACCTGGCAGAAAATGTAGAGCACATATTTTTGAAGACAGAATTTGACCTGAAAATCATTACGCTGTTGCTTGAACATTTTAAAAAATCCCTTTTAATACCATCCAACACAAATTGTCTTTGTTTCAATGTTATAGTTCCTGCTTCATCTGAATAAGATTATCTGAATTAGAAGATGATCCTAAAAAGGATAATTCTGCAATTGGAAATTATTTCAGAATGTTCAGACATTTAAAAATGAGCTAGTCATATTGTGAGGTTAATTTGTGCAATTCCCAAAATCAAGTGTTTGTAATTAAAATATATTGCAAACGTCTATATGCTGGCAACCATTTATATTTAAGCTATAAAAAACCTTAACAACAGTAACTAAAAACCTCACCAAGCCCCTTAGCCACATAAAGCTGAAAAAAACAGCTTTTAGTGGGGGAAGAAAATACGATAATTTTTCTGAAAGAATGCTTGTTGATGATGTATTGCTTTGTTGACCGTATACTTTGCGAGTTGCCAAAAGGCTCATAATTTTAGGGGGTTGACAGGACTATAATTTCCTCTCACCCTCGGCACAGGATGAGTGGGTGCACCATCCCTGCAGATGCCAAGGCAGAACCACTGGGTCCTGATGCTGTTTAGAAAAAGGAAATCTGTATAGAAGAACCTACCGGAGAGTCACGTATCCTTGGCTCTCTAAGTGAGGAAACTAGCACCATGACATGCTTTCCTCAGGGAGTGCTCCCTTTGCACTGACTCGGTTCCAAGGAGAACTGACCCATTAACCCAAGAGTTAATTCCCTGCTATGCCTCCCTGGCCTTTCCAGTCACCAAATAACTGTTTTCAAACAAGAAAAGGGGAGCATAATCTTTAATTGTGGTAGTCAACCAGGCAGGACAACAAACAGCAGTAAGATTACCTCAGTGCTGTGAATGTAACCAAGACATCTAAAATGCTGGGGTGTTTTTTACAATCCCTTTAGTAAGTATGAAAATTGGTAACGTGAGTCCTCAGTGAAGTTATTGTAGGAAAGTCCTTTTATTCATTATTGCTTTTCTCCTCAAGAGGCGCATTATTTCCATCTCTGCTTTGTCTGATTTTTCATGTTCACTGACTTTGCCTGGGCAGCCCCACCTCTTACCTTGGTGCCAGTGTGTCTAAGAAAGTTTTTTTTTCCCCCCGATTCCTTGTAATCAAATACTAGGGGCAGGAAGAGATGATGCCTAGGTGACAGAACACTGCAATTTGAAGTGGGGCAGTAGTTTTTTAGACAGGCTCTTCCTATTCAACTACAGATCACCTCTGTGCCAGTCCATGCCAGGGCAGACACCAGGACTAGGCTCCAACTGAAATGTCGCTGCCCCTCTGCTCGAACAGATGAACAAAACAGAATCAAAACAGAACAAAAACAATCAACAACAAACAAATGAAAGGTTCAATGTTGGTTTTCTTCAGGGCATGGCATAATGACAAGTTGCGGGCGATATCTAGTTGCCGCCATCGCTATTGCAATGGGCTGCCTGAGTGCCCCTTTATTTTCAGGTAATGGAACCTCTCCAACAGCTTCTTCTTTTCTACTTTCATGCTGCTTGCTGGTAACAGATTGGATGTGCGTTCTATCTTACTCAGATAGTAACTAAAATTTCTGTAAAAAGGGGTTACGGGGTGGGATGACGGGAGAATAATCCCCATGTAAAAGGTCTTGCTCTAGCCATCAATTTGTGATAGATGACCTTTGACGTATCAATAACAAAATGTCTGACAGCTCAGAAAATGTACAAGCTACAAACATCTTTAAATGGCAGAGTACACAGCACGGAAAACAACGCCTATCTCTTCGGCATCGTGTCACCGATCTCCCAGGCCAGCGTGAAGACGTTTCTCGGGTAGTCGCGATGGGGGTTACCTGCAGACCAAAAGGAGAAGTGTTCCTTCTTTTTCCTGCTCTGGTTTCAGACATCGTGGGATGGTGATGCCCTTTTGTGTTAACACTGTAAAGGGGATTCAGCCCTGCTGAACTGGGTGCCGTTAAGAGATCCAGCTCTTACGCTCAGCTGGACGGGTGGCATTCCTCACACCAGCATATGCCTCCGGCGGTGCAGTGCCAAGTGGTCTGACCGGGAAAAGCTGCGGTCGCAGTCCGCACACTTGAATGGCTTCACTCCCGTATGTTTGCGGTAATGCCTCGTCAGTTCATCCGAACGAGCAAACTTCCAGGTGCAGCCTTCCCAGGTACACTTGTAGGGCTTCTCTCCTGAAAGCAACAAAGAGACACACGCTTTGGTGCTCCATCACATTTCCCTCATAACCAAGCCAGCGCTATCTACCGGTAAGCTGTTTTCAATGGATTTTCCGTGCAGTGATCCTTTATCAGGAAACCTAACCATCCTACCAGCAGGTTTGGGGTCAGACAGATGGGGGTTTCAATCTCATCTCTTCTGCTGTGACATCTGGCAAGTTAGTTAACACTTGTATCCTCAATTACAGGTAAGTTACTCTGCAGTGACAATATCAAAGGCACAGCAGACTGACTGCTCCTGGCTGCAGCTACCACTGGTAGACTACAATGGGATACTAGAGCCCTACCTAGGTTATTTTGGCAATAAGATTGAAACTCACAAAGAATGCATCATAAAAGGTAATTAGTTACGCTTCGTGTCGACACTCCTCCAAAATGTGCATCACTTAGATGGTTTAAAGCCATTTTAGGATACAACGTCCATTTATCAACTACTGAGAAGGATATACACAAAATTTCATCAAAATGTAAAGCACTCCACCACCCCTAGAAATGAGGTATTAAGTACATCGTATTCATAAACATCTATTTTTTGCATGTCTATTGGGAAAGAATCCTTAATATCTTAATAGTGTAGGGTTTAAATACCTTTTTCAGTGACTTGGGAATTAGGGCAAGCCCTGAGGAATCATCCAGTTGGTTCCAGTGTTGAAACTCACAGTAAAAAGCAGTCTGAAGAAGTATGTAATTTGACCAGGTCCCTCAGTCAACTTGTAAGGACAGTAAAATATGCAAAGGCTTTGCTGGGAAAAGATACACTATCCATTGTCCAAATGAGCTCCCAGGAGGAGCGGGACAATAGTTGACCCAGGTGTGCTTTTTCCTGGCTCTCATTCAGCATGCAAGCCCTGTCCCCATGCAACCCCACAAAAACTGATCTCTCCTCTGCCTTTTCCATCCAATAGTCAACAACGTGCTGCTCGGCCACACATGGCCTCTGATGAAAAGGGCCTGAGATAGGGAAGAAAGCTGTTTGTTGGTCCCTGTGTATAGAGCTGCAAAGGAATTATCATTAACCCCACTTTACAGATGAGAAAACTGAGGTCCAGTGTAGTAAAGTAACTTGCCCAAGGCCAGTAAAATGGTGTGTTTGGTGCCAAATCCAGTGCTTTTCACTAGGCTACAGTGGAATGAGTGATTTTTCCCCCCCCATCTAAACTTTGTCACATCTTCAGACAAAGTTAGTTCTACTTTCTTAGGTCCTCCCAAATGATTCACTTTCTATTTCTATTAAATCATCTATTATAATATAGCATATAGATTTTGTTTAAATGCCTTTCTTCTCTACCAGTTTCTGAATATGTGGAGGTCAAGGACCATGTCTCCACTATTTTAGTATCTTCAGAGCCTAAAATAGGTGCCAAGCAAGTGCTTGAACGATTTAATAAAACTGCAACACACACACACATGAAACCACTAAGCCCTGTAAATGAGATGTAAAGTAATGCTACATGGGAAAAGCAGACCGAACTGGACCCAAGATTTGTCATTCTTCTGTTAAATAAATGCTATCTATATGGGTCCCACAGGAGCAAATAATCCTTTCAGAAGTGAGTGAGCTGTACAGACCAATTAAATCTAGAAACATTAATGCATTAATTGTGGCCAATAGAAAGCTCCAGGTTATTCTGAAAGGGTTCCTTTCAAGTAGAAGCCTACAGACTGGATAAAGCCAAAACCTGAACTTCTGACTCATTCTGGATGCCCTGTGAAGACAAAAATCTCCTTTTGCAAGTTAACAGAATTAAAAAATAAAAATCAGCAAAACCACTAATTTAAAAAGATTGTGGCGTGTGTGTGTGTGTGTGTGTGTGTGTGTGTGTGTGTGTGTGTGTGTGTTCTACTAGGTAGTGTATCAATGGAAACTGTTAACATGTTTTTATTCACATGTCATCCCTGTATGTTTTTGAAATTTATATCATGAGCATGGGTTCTAATAAGCTCAGCTTAATATAAATCGGGTCTTCAAAAACACAACCATCTTTGAGACACTGAGCTCAGCTGGCTGACTGTGTCACCAAGAGTCATCTCCTAGCTATTGCCTATGTTATTATGGGACCAGCTACAGAGAGTGTAAGGCCTAAGAAGGAAAGAATAAAGGGTTTTCTTAATTGGGGCAAAGTATTTCTCAGTTGTGCGGTAGAAGGATGTGTGTGTCTACCCTGGTGAGGAAATGTCCTACGACTGGGGTTAGACAAGCTGCTGCACCCTCACCTGGCCATTCCAGATCAGGTGAGAGGAAGGGACTCCATAACTGGGCGGGGCCTGGAAGATAAACAGGAGCAAAGCCGAAGGGGCAAGAGTTTCCAGTCTCATTTCAAGAAGGATCTTAGAAGCTGGTATGGTCTCCGAGGGACAGTTTATTATCTCAGGTACTCTCTGGATTTCCTTGTACACCCAAGTTTGGCACTTAATATTCTCTGATTTCTTCCTCAAAATTATAACGGTCTACTTCTATTTTTATTTGGGCTGTTTAATAATGGCATTTATGTCCTTTCCCCTTGACAATCTACAGTAGGGGGTGATAAACTATGCCCCCCCCCCCGGCAAATCCAGTCCGTGGCCTGTTTTCTTTGTTGTTGTTGTTCAACACGCAAGCTAAAAAGGATTTTTAAATGGTCGAAAAAAATCAAGAGGACTATTTTGTGGCATGTGAAAATTACATGAAATTTAAATTTTAGCAACCATAAATTAGTTTGTATTGGAACACAGTCACATTCATTTTGTTTACATACTGTGGATGGCTGTTTTCCAGTGATGACAGAGTTGAGCATTGCGACAGGGAATGTAGAGCCTGCAATGCCTAAAATATTTACCATCTGACACTTTATAGAGAATCTGTTGACCCGTGATGTAAAGGAGGGGCGCCTTGGCTTTTTGTAGGCTCCCTGATTATGCTACCTCATTGAATCGGGGTATATGACACACATTGTTAGTTTGAGATGGGTAAGTGAGGGAATATTTTAGCTATAGAATAATCACTTATTCTTGATTTAGGACCACAATTAAAATTCTAACAGTCCTCTCAGTAATAAACACATGATATTTCACGTCAAATACTTTGTGAGGTCTGGGCAACAGGAAATGAGCGCTTTTCTAAAAGGGTTCACTCAATTCAATCAGGGTTTAAAAAATATCTTCAGAACCTTTTCCGCTCATTAAAAATGAGGGTTTTCCCCTAGAGGGTGAGGGTCAGGGTGGAGTAGGGTCAGGAATGTCTCTATATACTTGTCAAGGTAACCAAAAACGTGATGATTCTACACAGTCATGGAGCTCCCCTTCCCCTAGTCACTTTCAACAGTTATGCTACAGGGCCGGCCGAGTGGCTCATTGGTTAAGAGCTGGCTTGGGAGCATGAGCTCTGAAGAGCAGAGCCACCAGTTTGGATCCCACATATGAGGGCCAGTGACACTGCCCTCCACAGCTAAGATGCTGAACAACAGCTCAACCTGGAGCTGGGCTGTTGTGGGTCGCCGGCGACAGCGTAGGTTGCAGCCCCTGCTACAGTGGGCTGCTGTGAGCTACCATGAGTGGCCAGCAGCCAGCGTGAGCAGCAGGCAGCAGAGGTGAGTTGCCATGAGCCGCTGTGAGCAGCCGTCCAATGGCTGGCGACCGACTGCCTCAGCCGAGAAGAGTGCAATAATAATACCAACATGGGCCAGTGAGTGACGTCCTCTGCAACTAGACTGAGGAACAAAAGGACAGCGATTTGTCTGTTCCCCTTCCCCAATTCCCCAATAAAAATCTTAAAAAAAAAATAGTTATGCTACAGTGGCCACTGTGAATGATGATGCGTTACTATTCTACTGAGTCTAAAAAGAGGATACACGGAGGGAAGGATCAGAATGTAGGAGCTTGGCGTTTGGCAATGTTTCTAAGATGGAGATTTTAAACAGGAGGATCAAGGGAAAGCAACAACTGATAGCAAAGCTTTCTGTGAGTCTACAAATCTGGAGTTGGGAAACTGTGCAAAATCTGATTAAGTGTCCTGTGAGGTGGAATCCAATGCAATAGGCCATCATGAAAGACAAAGGTGAGCAAAATGGGTGAAGGCGGTCAAAAGGTACAAGCTTCTAGTTATAAAGTAAGTCATGGGGACGTAATGTACAGTATGGGACTCTAGTTCATAACACTGTATTGCGTATTTGAAAGTGGCTAAGAGTAGATCTTAAAAGTTCTCATCACAAGAAAAAAAAAATTGTACCTATGTGTGTTGATGGATGTTAGCTACACTTACTGTACTGATCATTTCACAACATATACAAATACCGAATCATTAGGTTGTGCATCTGAAACATAACATTGTATGTAAATTGTATGTTAATTTAAAAAAGACAAGGGAATAGGCCTCAAAAATATGGCAAAAGCTTCCCTAATCATGAAATAAAACCAATGAAAATGATACGTAAGCTTATAAGTTATTAGGGGCTAAGTGATTAATGAAGGCATATAATAAAGAATGCAAACCTTCTTCACTGGGGAGAGGAGGAGGGAGGAAGTATATCAGAAAATAGTAAGCTTAATTATCTGAGTGATAAATGATTTTCTTACAAAAAGACAATTTCTTTTTTAACATGCAAAAAAATGTTATGCATAACATTCCTTGTCCCCATTGCCTCATTAATAAAACTAGACTTTGGGTATTCTACTTCCACGCCTAAAAAGAAAGAGGAAAAAAAAAAAGAAACCCCCAAGATCTTCAAATCTGTCTTCAAAATTATAGAGACTGAGCTATGGGCGTGAGGAAAGGGGCGATGGCTACTCTGACCAGATAGGGAGCTGGCTTCTGCCTCTCACTTAAGAGACACCTAAGTTTCGATTATACCCGCCCAGTGCCTAGCATGTCATTAAAAACAAACAATAAATGCTCTCTTTGGATTAGTCAAATGTTAGAATAGATACAAGAACAATTTTAGTGGCTACTGCATTTTATTAAAAGACACATTACATTGTAT